CTTAATAAGTTAAAAGATGAAGTTTGAAAGTAAATTTTTTTATCTTATTTGGAATGAGAATGATTTGAAATTAATATAATTAACATCCATTTGTTTGCATGTTGGTTAGGAAGGAAAATAAAATAAAAAATTTATTAAGTTTAATCTAAATTTATTAATTAAAAGTTAAAATATGACAATATTAAATCAATAATTTACACTGAAATTCTACGAAATCTTGTCAATTAGTTCAGAAAATATTTTTACAACAAAATATGATTTAAAATCAGGCAAGATTTCAAATCATTACATTTAATCACCCGATAACAAACAACGAATTCATTTAAAATCCATCAAGATTTAAAATCACCCAAAACGTTAAAATTCCAAACAATTATATATAATGAGAAGTTAAAATATAAAATTTTACTCTTCTATATAAAAATTGTCGATACTTTAATTTATATTTTGATGATCCGTGGTGAAGTTAATATGCATTACATATACGTTTTGAACTCTTTTCTGGCACAACAAATATATAAATGTGAAAATTTAGACCTTAAAATTTTAAAAATGATGTTGACATACACATATGATTGATTGATTGAGTTTTAACTTTTAAGCAAATTCTTTGACTCACATTTTATTTGATTAAAATTAAAATTATAGAAACTCGAACCCGTGACAGGAATGTTAATAAAAATTTATTTCTATTCACAGAGAAATTGAGGATCATGGGTTGGGAATGGCCGACATCACGGATTCATTTGTAATTTGCATGGCTGGATGCTGTCTATTCTTTTTTTTTTTTTAATTTTATATAAAGTTCCAAACGCATGGTCATGATGATTTATAATTTAATTCCATACAACTTTTTCCATGCAAATTGATTATTTATTTATTTATTTACCAAAAAAAAACTAGTTGTAAAATGTGATGTTTTTATTTTGAATTTTGAATTTAGTTCCATTTAATTCTTTGTTTCAAAATATTAATATTTTTACTTAGTGTTCATTATTTTTACTCTTTTGACGTAACATAATCGTCAGTAATCTTGATGAAAAAATTGACTCAGATGTTGCCATGTGAGGTGTAATGTTAATTCATATTATTTATATCCCCGTATTTATTGAAATTGGTGCCAATTAGCGTCACTTATTGAAATATAATAAAAACAAATATTTTCATCGTATCTGAATAATCTCATCAGCATTTTAGTTAGCATATTGTGTCATCTAGGAACCAAAAGTGAGTATGAGTAGAAATTCAATAGTAAAAGTTTGAACGATTTGAAATCGAGGAACCAAATAGAAACTAAACTCAAAACTCCAACGGTGCGAGTGTAATCTTTTTAAAATTTAGAAAACAAATGAATTATAATTAAACTCGAAATTTAAGGAAAAAAGCATGAACGAAAACTAAACTCAAAATTACTGTTTAAAAAAATATTTTAACTAAAAGTCGAGAATGTGACATCACATGTGTCATCATTGAGATGGATATACAATGCTACAAAATCTCCAAATTTAATTTTTAATTAACAAAAAAGAATTATATATATATATATATATAATTATTTAAATCAGGTCACGGGCTCAATCTTTTTCATAATGTCTCCTCCACTATCATTGATTTCACACCTTAGCACACGTATCATTTTCCATCCCAAAAATTTCATACCAATCCAATTAAATATTCATCTTCATCAAACATAAATATAAATATAAATATATCCCATGTGTCAATTTTATTAACGTTTTTATAAATTTCGTCCATTTCATTGGTCTGATAGATCGCCATCAAACCATTTTATACGACACGCTTGGCATGGTTAGGGACAAGCATTGTTTCACTGCTATCTATTCGACATCTTTTATCCTTAATTATTCCGTATGAATTTTATGTGGACTCTATTCTTCTATCACGTGTAACTTTTTTTAATATGAAATGTCTTATATGTTAAGAATTCCACGTTAAAAAAAGTAAAAGACTTAACAAAGATTTACGATAGATATGAGCTATACTTCTTATTGTCAATTGATTTTAGGATGAAACCTCGTAATATTGATATGATATTGGAGCTCAGAACACTCAAACCAGCATTCAAGCCAAAAATAGGATTCGACCAAGATCGATAAACCAAAAGAGTTACCATGTTAAGGAACTCACATTGAAAAGGTGATGGATCCAACAAAAGTTTATAATAGACATGAGCTACTATTCCTCTCATTGTCATTTGGTTTTGAGATGGAACCTCATGAATATTATATTGATATTATCAACCTAAAGATTCAACTATCAACATGTAATTTAAGTGTCAAAGCGAGCATATCTCAGCGGTAATCGACATACACCTCCAACCAAGAAATTGTGAGTTCGAATCCTCTCCCCAACATGTTGTACTAAAAAAACATGTAATTTAAGTGTTGATGTTTATACTTTATCTAAAGTGGGGAATCACGGGTTAAACTTAGATTTTAAGATAAGGGAATTCAGTATTATGTACTACGGGGTTAAATATGAGGGGTGTATCCTCAATCGTACCTTGCCGGCTTGGAGTATATCTTTTTCATTTACTATGGCTCTGCAATAATATGAATATAGTTTACTTTAGACCTAAACTTACTTATTTTGTATTTAACTGCTATCCAAAATAGTTCATATTAGTGAATTAGCGTTGTACTTGCATACAAATCCAAACGCTTCAAATATTTTGATCGAGAATCAAACAAAACAAAATTATTAAACATTTCGGATATTCGTGCACATGTTATGCATGAAAAGTTTTAATCATCTAAGAAAAATGATTTTTAAAAAATTAACTTCATATCAAAAGTTGAATCGCAAAATTTCAAAATAGAAGATAACAAATAAATAAAACAATTTAATTAGTGCGTGAAACTTTTTTTCCCCCTAATATTTGCAAGATAAAGGTAAAATATTAATTCTCTTTTTTATATAAACTAATTTCCAATCGGGATTTTTTTTCTTTTTTAAATCATTTATCTAGGAAAGTTCCACGTTACTTTCCCGATTTAATTGCGATTTTTGCGCTTACTCTCCCACATGCCGTCTTATTCCCTTCATTGCAAGTCAACCTCGAATATATATATATATATATATATAATTTTTTATTTTTATATATTATTTATAAAATTGAATCTACTAAGATCATTTATTAGATAGTTTAAATTATAAATATTAAAGCAGAGAGATGGAGAAATAAAAAAATTTTCTCTTTCCCACGTGTAAATATAGTTCAAAAGAAAAAGTTAGATGTTCGAATATCTACTCATACATGCTGTTGAATTAAAAAAATTATTTTTCTCTTACCAATTTTAAACCACCATGCATGTTTTATAATAAATTGCAGCATAAATATATCTATGTGTATATTTTGAAGTTCATTTTTCCCTTTGTGTAACTATTTATTAAAATTAGGAAGGTGAAACAGTAGCAGACATTAGCGATCAAATTTTTGTCTCTTGTCGTGTTTGTGAGGATTCAAACAACTTGAAGGGCAATCTGATTATGCTATGAGTTCGTTTGTAGGTACCAATTTCATTGTTCCTAATCTTTCACAAATCGTCATGACCTATACAAGTGAGTTACTTTTCTCATTGCTAATTCATTTTAACATGAAACTTCATAAATATTGGATATGATATCGAAGTCCCAGATTATCTTATTGTAAATCAATTTTGAGGATGAAAGATCGAATCTTCAACCTTAAAGAAAAATAAGATGTATCTTATCTGTTGAGTCATGCTTAGATGTACGATAGTTTTTAAATCTATTAAGTTTTGGTATAACTATATAATTAAAAATAATTGTATAGTGTAGGAACTAACAGAAAATACAAATTTTCTCTGCATATATATATATATTATATATATATATATATTTTTTTTTTTTAGAAGAAAATATATGTCACATAGAATATAAAAACATTAAATAAAGCCAAGGAAAACGAGAGTTTGAGAATTTCATCCAAATCTAGAAATTTGAGGGGCATAAAAACTAAGCCACATATAATGATATTTTGTGCCCCACTGTCCCAACGTGGGTCCATATCGAAATGATAATATTTTAAAATATAGGGTTATTTGGGTAAATGACTAAATACTGTTTTCCATCCCTCAATTTAAAAGTTTTTTTTATGGAATAATGAGTGGTAATTAGTTGGTAACTGAAGGAGCAAAATTATTTTTCAAATTTACAATTATTCCATATTCTAAATGCATGCTTTCTAGATGTATAAATTTAACTTATCAACTTGAACATAATTTAATGGAGGAAAATATCTATTTGCGACTATAAGATTGTCAGAAATCTGGAAGCATTTTAGAAATTTCAAAATTAAAACATTTTAACATGCACCTAAATAGGTATATATATATATATATATATATGAACGAGTTTAATTTATATGTTTTGTAATTGCAAGAGTTTATTTATCATTAATCTTATATTTAAATTCAAATTATATACCTATGGAATTTTATTTGAAGCTCAAAAATATTTTCGAACCAATTTAACGTTGAAATCTCTTATTTATTGAACCCTAAATTTATTATATTTTAGTTGTTGGACTTTTAAAATGTCGGTTTAAGTATCAGAGATAATAATCATCTTGATCCCTACCAAGTTTACTTTAGTATTTGAATTTTTAACAAAAATTTAAATCTTATTTCAATCCATGTATTTTGTACTTTTCATTACAATTTCAAAATAATACTACACTCAATAAATTTATTAAAACATTATCATCAAAATAAACAAAAGTTAAAACCATCCAACATAGAATCACAATTTTTACTCAATCTTATGTTAGCCAACCGAATCACAGAATATGACTAACATATCCCTGCCAACAACAGGTTATATGTAATAATCTGAGCAGCGCAACCAAAACAATCAAGAAATGATTCCAAAAATCAACCGAGAGAAATATTAATCATGGGGATTTAAAATTCTAAATCTTTTCCCCACGTCATGTCTGTGCCTATAAAAAGGCCAACTCTTGACAATGAACTCCACTCTCTTCCCACAGTCTCTAACAATGGGTAAGCTCGCCGGCGCCGCCGCCTTCATCCTCCTCTTCAATCTCTCCTTCCTCCTCCACGCTCTCGCATCCGTCGACGACGTCGCATGCGACTGCGATCACCACCCAAAACCCAAGCCTCCGCCGCACAAACCGCCGCATTACCCCCCAAAACCACCCAAATCTCCACCCTACAAACCCGTAAAACCCTCTCCTCCGCCGTACGTCCCAAAACCCCCCGTCGTAAAACCCTCTCCTCCGCCGTACGTCCCAAAACCCCCCGCCGTAAAACCCTCTCCTCCGCCGTACATCCCAAAACCGCCCGTCGTAAAACCCTCTCCTCCGCCGTACGTCCAACCGCCGGTGTTCAAGCCCCCGCCGCCGCCGCCGTACGTGCCGACTCCGACTCCGAGCCCACCGGTGAAGCCGGCACCGGTGGTTCCGACGCCGGCGCCACCGACGGAGACCCCGTGCCCGCCGCCGCCGAAGCCGGAAACGTGCCCGATCGACACGCTGAAGCTGGGAGCGTGTGTGGACTTGCTGGGGGGGCTGATCCACATTGGAATCGGAGATCACGCGAAAGACACGTGCTGCCCGGTGCTGCAGGGGCTGGTGGATTTGGACGCCGCCGTCTGCCTCTGCACCACCATTAAAGCTAAGCTTCTCAACATCAATCTCATCATCCCCATTGCCCTCCAAGTCCTCATTGACTGCGGCAAACACCCTCCCAACGGCTTCCAATGCCCCGCCCATTGAAATTGGTAACATTCTAATCAATCCCGACCAGTGAATACCTATTTCTATGCTCTCGAACCAAAAATAAAATTAACCCCTTCATTGTTTTTGTAAAAAGAAAATTCTTATTTTATGGTCCAACACATCTATTAATTAAATTTACTAAAAGTTTAATCTCTTGAATTTAACAATGATTTATTCATTTTTAATTTGGTATTTTGAGACATCTAAATCCATCCACTTAAAACTTTTGATTCGAGTAATTATTTATTCATCTTTGATATTATATCAAAGTGAGAGGTTTGTGTTTGAAGGAATGMGGTTTCATCTCCATTTAAAATGAATTTTTCGAAATATCATATCTACATATGAATTAAATTAATTTCATTCTTAACATGGTATCATTTCCATGCCCKGGGTTTTATTGCAATTTTCCAGCAATCCATACACTCAAGGCAGTTTATTCGTCTATAATAATTAGTTTTAACAMTTAAGCATCAAGTATTTTCATTTCTAGAATTACCAACAAATCTCAAGAGTTTATAAGTTTATAACAACACATGTTTAATTAATCCCTTATCAGTGCTCACTTTCTTTACATAAGATTCAAATCATATTTTACTTCCCATTATTCTATGTTTCTATTTTCGGCTTAAATCTATCTGGGTCTTTCTTCCAGACTCGCGAAAATGGGGTGCCAATAATTGAGTGGTGAAAAATTTTTAACATAGATTTTTTGTTTTGTTCTATTTTTGAGTGCAGGAGTTCACGGGCGGAATTTGTAGACACAGAAGAAGATGATAATATTGAAATGCCAAAGTGACAGACAGACATGTGGAGATAAAGACAAGACAAGATAATGACAAGTGATATTAGTTTTGTTTTTCTTTTTGGGTTTATATTTTGGTTCAGAGAATGTGAAATGTTCTCTCTTTTTAGTGTGTTTGTGTTGTGGGAGTTTGATGAGTTTCACGTCGTGTTGTGTTATCATTTATCAAACATCAAATATCAAATCTATGTACTGTGCTACCAGAACTACTGCTACTGTTCATTCAATCGTTTCCAACAATATATATGCAAACCCCCGTCTGGTTTTAATTAGTTTCATGTGTTTTTCTTTTCATTTTCCTTATTTTCTTACCGTTGTTTGTTGGTTTTTTTTTGTTATTCAAAATTTGTCATTTGTTATTGATATCTTCATATTAAAGTATATGTCACTAGTATAATTGAGGTACACAATTACTTAATATATAAATGATATAATTTTTATTAAGTGTATCATTCATAAATCTTCTTCGAATTATTGATATTAATGAAAAATTATTGATATTCATATATTTCATTGTACACATATCATATATACCTTATATATTTGATATAGATATATTAAAATCAGAGATATAATTGACTTTTCCATCTTTTATTTTGGGTTGGGCAACGATTTTTGCAATATGTGCAACCATTAAAAGGGGGAAAAAACATAGACTAAGTTACATAATGGTTAATGCAGGTAGGAACCTAATTTATTATTATTTTTTTTATCAGATGATAACGTATTAACGTGTCTTGGATAGAGATTCTAGGTTTTTTTTTTTTTTTTTTTGCCAAAGTAGATCCTAAGATGCTACATTTGTGGGTATAATCGTGTGATTTATTTACTTGTTGAATATGATCAAATAGAAATGTGAAAATGAAAGTGATTTATTTGTTTATTGAATATGATATAATTCAAATRTCTAGTAAGTTATTGAGTTAAAATTGACGTTATTGCCAACTTTAACATAACTCAACTAGCTAGTTAATACACTCATTTCCGTTATTGCCAATTTTAACATAACTCAACTAGCTAGTTAATACACTCATTTCCGATTAAAAAGTTGTGAGTTCGAATTTCCACCCCACATGTTGTACTAAAAAAATTAATTGACGCTTACTTTACATTAATTGAATTATTTAAAAATTACATGAGGAGCTAGTTTTAGACCAATTCAAATTTTTATTGATGTAATTGATAAACTTAAGTTAACCATTCATAACTATTAGACACAAAATTAGAAGTTGAAATATTTATTATTATTGTTTAAAAATATAAATAAACACAGGTTGAAAATTCAAGAACTTATTGAATATTTCTAAAAGCACGTGAGTTAAATAGACACGATTTCTTATATGTCAACCAAGATTCAAATCTCCGCCCACGCTCTTAGTTGTATTTAAAGGAAAACATTGTTGCTTACACATCCAATATTGCACCAATCCAAATTTATTTAACAAAAAAAAAAGTAATAAATAAATCTTATGATGTGGATTATCCATTGATACATAATATTAAAGAGTAGTAGCAAAATAGTTTAAATAAAAAATTAACATTTTTACGTTTTAACTACTCATACAATAACTTTGATAAATTTAAAGTATCCTAAAATTTTTTGTTTCTACTTCAATAACATGTAGGATGTGAATTCAAACTTCAAACTTTTTGTTTCTACTCATACATTTCTGTTTGCTCTAAGATGGAAAGTCCAACTCTCATCTCTTAATCATTAAACTACATAAACTAATTTTTTTTTTAAATATTTATTGAAATGGCTACAAAATATAGTAATTATTATATAAATATATACATAATTTTTTTCTTGAAAAAAAAAGTGACCATTATAATTGTAACAAATATCAAAATTGTGGCCATTTTATTTTTTCGAAAATATTTGTTATCTTAATTGGGCCGGTCAGTATTTGGACCAGAAGCCCAACTCTTGTGGGCCATTTTAAGCCCATTTACGACGAGATAGGCCATCTAAAGCCCACTTGTAAGCCGAAGTTTTCTTGAGGAAGAAGCCGGTGCCTCGTCACTGGAACTTGCAGAAAAACACCTCTTCTGCTCTGAAGTCTGAACTAACATCGGCGATTTGATCGAGCGAGCGCGGGAGCTGGCCGGCGAGCTTTTCTGCAAATTTGTTGCTGTTTGTGAATTTCGTTTCAAGGTGACGTTCTACTTTTCTATACAGCGTTTGAATCTGAAATAAGCTTGAATGTTTTAGCTTCAGATGCAGCTTCGTTCTTTGCATTTCGGATATTGTTGTTAGGGTTAAGTGTTTGATTTAGTTGCCAAGTCCTATTGAATTTAGAGTGCGATTCTCTTATGTGCCTTTAATGTTTTACCTCCAGCCTCTCTGCTTCTCGCATGAAATTTCGCGAGCCTACCTCTTCGATTCTGCAGTTCCTCTCGTCTCCGCTCTCTTTCTCTTTATTATTCTCTCTAGCAGTCCTTCTTCGGCTTTCTAGGGCTTCAACGACAGATTTAGTAACTTCACATCAATAACCATTTTCTTTCGGCATAATTCAGATTCATCCCCTTCGCTTTTTCATGAAACTCATGGAAACAGGGGATAAAATTCTAAGAAAATAATCAATTCCAGAGAAAATAAAGAAGATTGAAAAGGTAATTTCAAACTTATCATTAATGACTTGTCTGTTGAAAACTTGCTGCTTTCTCTGAAAAATGGCTTTCAAAATGAACTGTAAAGTTGGAGCCCAACTATTCCAGTTTATGGAAGGGGTAAAACACCCAAGTAAAGAGAACAAAATGCCTGATATTGCAGTTTTTCATCATTGGTGACCCAGATCAGAGAGAGCGAGAGAGAGAGATGGATCCACAATGCTTTGGCCAAGAAGTAAATGTTATTGTGTACTTAGGCTAGTTGAAACTGAAAAGTGGAAAATTATCTATTAAAATTTTTCTTGATTTTTTGGAATATGTAATTTGAGCCCACATTTTTCTAAAACTGAAAATTTGAAGCTGAGAAATTGGGCCAAACGATAGGCCCAATTCCTGACCGGTATATAATTGGTTTCTAATTTCTCTACCATTGTCTCCCTTGTGTATTGTTATCAACTGAGATTACCAACTTGGCCGATAATCGACCAAACCGAACCAACATTCATCCCTAGTGGATATACTGAAAAGAGAAACCTAGTTATGCATAACTATTTCAACTTACACATATATTATAGTGCTCGTGTGATACTTCAAGTGTCTTATTCATGGTCTTGAAATTGGAAGTTAGTTTTCCCCTATTCACCTAACACAAGGGTGGCTAACAATGATAGTTTTAAGAGTCTAGACTTTTGCAAGGATGCTTAGTGATCGAATGTTGCATAGTTATCAAGTTGGGAAATGGAGGAGATCAGAAGGAAATACAGGCAAATTTTGTTATTTGAAGTTGGACAGATCTTACCAAATACCACTTTTGAGACTTTTTAGCGTAGATAGAGGGCAAGCAAAAAGGTGGCATATGAGAAGAGTTATGAGTTAAACATAGCAGTGGAAATTTGGAATTGAGAAAATGCATTTTTGTTTTAGGGAGACGGGGGATTCTATGATCCGTTTCATTATTTATTTAGCATTTTGGTAATAGACTTGTAGGTTTGTATGCAAACTATGGGGGAGCAGCAGCTCGTTGCTCTGTATTATATTCTGTTTCCTCTAAAAATTTATTATGTCCCCATCTTTCTGTCACAACTTTTTGTCAGATGTCTCTGAAGAGATATGGCTTTTTGAGAAATGAGGTGTCGTCATGTTTCTGCATTTCCATGTTGTCTCCCATCTCTGTATCTGCGCTACTTGGATTRGGATCTTCCCACCCTGCCGGATTGATTATCTATTCTTTCTCACTGTGCTGTTTTTTTTCCCTCCCTCTGCATAACAGGATAACAAAAAATGTCTAGAAGATATGATAGCCGAACAACAATCTTCTCTCCAGAAGGTCGTCTTTACCAAGTTGAATATGCAATGGAAGCAATTGGAAATGCAGGTTCTGCAATTGGGATATTATCTAAAGATGGGGTTGTCTTGGTAGGTGAAAAGAAGGTCACTTCCAAACTCCTGCAGACCTCAACTTCCACAGAGAAGATGTACAAAATTGATGATCACGTTGCATGTGCTGTGGCTGGAATAATGTCTGATGCAAACATATTAATCAACACTGCAAGGGTTCAAGCCCGGCGCTACACTTATGCTTACCAAGAGCCAATGCCCGTTGAGCAACTGGTTCAATCCCTCTGTGATACAAAGCAAGGCTACACTCAGTTTGGTGGTCTACGTCCCTTTGGTGTTTCTTTTCTGTTTGCAGGGTGGGATAAGAATTATGGCTTTCAACTGTACATGAGTGATCCAAGTGGAAACTATGGTGGTTGGAAGGCTGCTGCAATTGGTGCAAACAACCAGGCAGCACAGTCGATGCTTAAACAGGATTACAAGGATGACATCACTAGGGAAGAGGCCATCCAGCTTGCACTTAAGGTGCTTAGAAAAACCATGGACAGCACAAGTCTTACTTCAGATAAGCTTGAATTGGCTGAGGTTTTCCTTTCACCTTCTGGAAACGTCAAGTATCAAGTATGCTCACCTGAGTCCCTAAGTAAGTTGTTAGTGAAGTCTGGTTTGACTCAACCGGCTGCTGAGGCTTCCTAAACATCTCTTAGATGTTCGTCTACTTCATCGTGCTTGGTCTGGCATATCTCATGATCTTCATGGCTTCAAGAGAACAGTGGTGTTTGGATATGTTGTTGGAATGTTGAGCTTATCTGTAATGTGCACCTTATTAAGTTTATATTTAATAATGTTAGAAAACGCTGTTCATCATCTTTACATTGTGCAACTATAAAGTCAAGTCCTTTCATTGCGATTATTTGTGCCTTTTTGTTGATGAACACTGAAAATTGTTCTTATCTGGTACTTCTATTATCCTCATCTTTAATTCACCATCAATTAAATTATTAATTCACTATTAGCGTGTCGTTACTGCCATCCCGTCCACTCTTTCTCCCGAGGTGGTCCCTCGTTTCATGGAAGGAGCCTCCTTTCCTCTTGCGAGTTTGAGAGGGGGAATCAGTCCCTCGAGCTGGAAAAAGGCAACGCCAGAAGAAAGAGATAAAGGCCGTAAGAAGGAATTTTGTGAACAGCAATATTATAACGAAAGTGAATGACGGTGGCAGGAAGTTTGGCGTGTTTGAAAGAGAGTTTTTGCACGAGGAAGCCGTAGTATGTACCAAAACCTCAGGTAATTCTCGGTCCTTGTATATTTTTGTTTCATTTTCATTCTCAAAATCTCAGTTGCTAGGGTATAATCCGTTCAAACTTTTCTGGTGATCCTTGTTA